CCAGCGAGTTGGATTATGTAGGATTGTAGTTGTATGGGGATTGTATGCAGATGTATAGGGATATGTAGGGGCATATCGGGACCCATCCCGACCCCTGAAGCCCTAAACCCTGAGTCCTAATTGCCAATGCATTTTTCTCGCGCCTGAAGCGTGCCATAGCCTCCAAAGGAGATCTGCGATAGGGGAATTTCAAGAAATCAAGAGGCTCCACACTTTGAATCCTTGAGCGCGGAAATCTGTACAACACTGCAGCTATGCCTGTTGGGGCCTTTTGCTTTTTGGAAATTACGAAAGAGTTGTCAGGAAAGACCCCTGACTTGCATCCCCCAAAACAGACGTCCAAAGGAAGCCGTAGCATTCCCATGGTTCCTGAGTGTCGGGGGGCTTGTCTGGGGTGGACCCTGAGGAACACAAACACTTTGCTTCCATGCTTCGAACCCTCCCTAACCCAGAGCAACCTATGTTCCCTTTTTTCGATGTAGATTCTAATCCCTTATTAGAAAGGCACATAAAAAATGGGCTACATAGGGGCCCTTGGGAATACATTCAATTTGAAGCTGGAAGCGTTTTCTTCTCGAAAGACTCAGCAGCTTAGGGCTGAGCAGGAAGGAGGGAGGGCTACTTGAGTATTCAGATGTGTCTATTCTTTCCCTACATAGGGTTACATAGTATATAGGGTTCAGGGCGTGCCTAAATCAGAGTACCTTTGGGGCGGTCCGCATATTTGGGGTCTATACCTTGCCCTCGTAGTACCCTTAATTGGGGAATTTGGGATACATGGCCCCGAATAGTGAATACTCCTTCCTTACTGATTGCCAGCCAGGCTCATTTGGAAGTTTCCAGAAATTGCGGCATGCTTCGTTGGGGTTCCCAGCAGGATAATGATACCCATCATACTGGAACCTCCGATGGAAGGGACCCTGCCTGCAATTTTTGCAAGCTACCATGTTTGTTGTCTTGCAACCTGCGGAGCAATCCTGCAGAAGCAGGCTTTCGTGGAGAAACAAGATCACACGGGATCTGCTGAGCGGAATTCTAAGCTAGGGTAACTGCAGGATCAAGGGAGGTTGCATGTTGCATGGGAATTGTACTATACTGGCTTGAGGCCGTGTGGTCCAGGTGGCTACATAAAGCGTTCAAGTTAGAAACGAACGGCTCAGGTCCGAGGCTCGTAAAAGCAGCTTTATGTCGTGAATACATTGGCCATGGTCACTACAATGCAAGTCCTGGGTCTTTCTTCGTGGCATCTGCTGGAGTCTTAGCTGAGGTTGTTTGACAGGTTTTTTTGGTTCTTTCCTGAGATTCTGGCGAAGTGAGGAGCAGCAAGGGCAATTGGGCCATACCCCTTGCTCACCACTTTGCTACCCCACTGCCCTGTCAGGATTTCCTTGAAGAAGGCCGGAAAAGTTAAAACCAAGTAGTGAACAGCATTAACCCTTCCTTGCTAAAGCCTAAACCCTACACCCTAAACCGTTGAGGTTCCATAGGCTACACGTGGCAGAGGGTGCAAGCGCCCTCTCATCCTGAATCCAAGACCCTTTGAGCCGGCCATCCCATTCTTCTGAGTTGCTGTTAAGGAACTCAAATGAGCTATAGTCTAACGCTCCTGAAAGGGGGTTATATGAGGGATTATGAACGGGAGTATTATAGGGCCCATTTAGAGGGATACTGGGAGTCTAGATTATGGCTCGAATTAAGTTACCATAGTAAGAGTATATAGGGTTTAGGGTTGCCATGATTTGGGTCTATAAGGCTTAGGGTTCAGGATGCAAGTTACCACAGTATGGGTATATAGTGAGTAGTAGGGTTTCCTAACTATAGTAATCTTAAATTCAGTTCCTTAACGGCAACAAGGCGTCTTATGACATACCGTGGTGTACGCTAGTTGCATTTTCTTTGTTCCACGAATCATGAAAACGAACATGTAAGGTACTGGAATTCCTGTGATCTCAAGATCCCAAATACATAATGGCATACTTGACAAAGTAGCTTAGCACACTAGTATTTCAACTCTAGTATTTCAACTGGCAAGGGAAGCCCTGAGCGCTTAAACCCATGCGCTGACAAAACCTTGGCTACGCAGAATCGCAAGCTCCAAGCTCTCGAGGTTCTTGGGCCTTGGATTTTCATCTTTAAAAAATGGAAGCCTGTAGCCTGAATTTTCAGCAATCAACATCTACACACCCGAAGCTGCGGGAGGTTTACCCTAGACCCCTAGGCCAAGTAAGCACATTGAAGACCTGTATAGACCTTGTAAAACACGGGCCTGCGCGCTCCGTAAAGAGAGTTGCAGCATCAGGTACCGGTTAGGCCCTTGCAGATAATGCCCGCAAAACAATTGCGTTACCCCGTATGGGGTCAGGGGAAAAGCTTGAAAACGAGATGGAAGCTTGATATGGCAGTTTACCCCCATAGGGGGAACTCCGATATCGACCCCAAATACTAAAACCTTATCATGGGGAAGGCAGAAAGGTATTCATAGTTTTGGGAAACCCTAAGCCCTAAATAGTAGTTTCCATTTGTCTTTTCCATGGTCCCATTCTACCCTTTAATTTGAGGACTCCATGCCAATAGAACCCCAACATATTCCCTCTAGTCCCTATATACTCCCTACAGTTTCTATTTTCTTTTACATTATCCCTATGTTACCCTTATCTTGTCCTGTTTCAGGCGCCCATCTTCCTCCTGGGTCTGGCGGAAAATGCGTAGCTTGACTCCGCCTTGCTATGGTGGAGATGTGTGTTCAGTTTTCAGATTTCCCGTAGACCCTAAACATCCCTAAACCCAAAGCACCCTAAACCCCCTAAACCCTAAACCCAAAGCATTCTAAACCCTAAACTCTAAGCCCCCTGAACCCCTAAACCCAAAGCACCCTAAACCCTCTAAACCCTAAACCCAAAGCGCAGCTTTCATCTTGTCTTCCTCGGCTTGGGTCCGGGAGTTGAGTCAGAGGTTGGGATCCTGAAGCTTGACCCCCCGGGGAAGCAAAGCAATTTAGGGTTTGGGCTTTAGGCTTGAGGGCTTATTTTCCATTATCCCGATGTAACCCCAATGTAACGGCTTGGGGAATGGACAGCACGAACCATTGAACACCTAAAATATCAGCCCAAGAGCCTAAGATTAGGAGTCCCTTTTGGGAGATCTTCATAATAAGGATTATACTACGTAGGGGGTCCGCATTGGGGTCCCCATATCTATGGAAACCCCAATACGGCTTATGATTCAAAAGAGTTTAGCTTTAGCACGAGCTGAACGCGAACGCGCAATACCGCACCAATCTAAGGAAACGCGTTCTAGCACTCAGTGCCATCTTTGCTACCTTGACGGCTTGTCCTAGCAGTCACATCGCCTTGCATAGTTTGGTGCCCATGAATGGCAGTAAAGATCGACATCCTGAAAAGCATAGCTACAACTTCATGCAGCTTTTGCTCTAAACTAGTTTTTTGACACTGCACAATTTCAGTTGCGATGGCGGTCTCCAACACAACTGGTTCAGGGTGCTGGGATTTGTCTCTGCTTTCTTCCCTTTGTTAAGACCGAACGTTAAAAGTGAGAAAAAATGAGCCCTTCTTCCTTGCGTGTTTCAAAGGAGCACGAAAGATGGTGAACTTAATTATGAATGGAAGCCCTGCAGGCAACCCTATTGAAGGCTTGTTGTTTCTCTTGGTTGCCATGTTTTTGTCGAGCCTGACTATCGCAGTGCGCCAGGGTCACTCTGCAAAAATGAGACGGCTAGGGGTCCTTATATAATCCCAAAAAAATCCCTACAGCCCTAAACACTCCGAGTATCGTGATGTACCACACGGAGCCCCTACGGCGTAGGATGGGAACATGACGAACTTTTGCACTGCAAACACTGCGTTTTGTGTATATAAGGCACGCTCACACGCACATCGGTGCATGAACGCACAAGCATATGGTGTCTTCGAAGCGGCTGTTGACAACCATCATAGTTCGAAACGAAACACAAGCTTCCAGTTGTTGCTACGGCTCCAGCTTGTTTTTCACACCATGTGCCTGATGCAGTGAAGTGGCAGCACTTCGGCCCATTTGGCCCCGCACCAAGTGTGCTGATGACATGTGACATTGAGAGGAAGCGTAGCTGATGTCACACACGTGGCAAGTCCTGACAAAAAAATGACAGCCGGAAAGATACTGAAAACGCAGCTCGGCCCGACATGGCCCGCTGATGTACCCATCATATTGCATCACAGCAGCCAACTAATCCGAGTAGGATTGCGTTTCTACTGCCATGGGGCGGGAAGATCCCGCAAGCGCTTTTCTCCTGGGTTTAAAGGGTCTGGTGCCGTATGGTGGCCTTGCAGTTGTGCTGACATATTCGAAGAGTATTGCCAGCAGTCTGGGGTGTTGCGCGTTTTTTATCATCATCCCCACGTTGGTTGCCTTCTTCTTTGGGGGCATGGGATTCAATGCCTTCACGTGGGCTGTTGTGTTCGCAAGTCTCTGCAACAGCTCCTTGGGCATATGTTGCATCTGTCCATGTTTCGTCGTTTGCGTGCTGGTGATACATTTGGCCGTCGGCCTGAGCCAAGGCATTGTTAGATATGTTTTCCCAAATGCATTGCCCATAGCTTCAAATTGCTTAATTGTCCTGATAATTTGAGTTACGCAAGCGCCTTGCTAGCTTGAGTTTGGCCATGACTGGTTCACAAAATGTGGTCTGGGCTGGTTGGAAGCATATATGGTCTTAGCAAATCTGGCGCTGCACGTTTCAGTGCATGTTATCTGAGGTGTGAGGTAATGACCATGTTGTCCAAGGTTTGTTTTGCAGACCGTTGCTATGTAGCAGATCTATTTAAAGTAGTTGCATTCACATTTCTGGGTATGTATGGCTGTAAATTTTTGTTTGCGTGATTACGCCGTCGAGTTTTTTTGTGACAGAGGTCCATGTAACTTGCGATTTTTGCTCAACATTAATGCTAAGTTCATTCTTGCACTTGCAATCAAACTGTTTTGGTTCTGCGCTCGTCGCGGCAAAGGAACTCTCCAGTTCAACGCTACTGGGAAATCGAAAGCGTTGAGCCACTGCGTCACGTGGGGCTTTGCGCAAGCTCTTGGCACGACTTTCAAGGAACCTTGGGCTGACTTCGGTCTAAACAGGATAGCAAGTGAAAGCCTGTACCTTTTTCAGGTGGACTTTGGCGGAAGTGAGCGCACTAAACTTGTCTTCTTTCGATCGCAGGAAGTATTTATTTCCGAGATGGCACCCTGCATGAACATGGTCAGCTTCCCGAAGCAAAGTCCATCGAGATTGCAAGGTGTTATGATGAGCACCATAAGAACGCGCCGCCCACGTACTACAACTGTAAATTTCGGGCCCGGCCAGTATTCCAATGCGATTCTCACGATTCATATTCTGAGATGTCTGACACATGCATGCAACCCCGAGCATGTGCTTGGGCAATCACCGCGAGCACTTCAGAATGGCCGCTGCCCCCCGAAACCCCTGACTGCGGCAAGCGAAGCCAGGGCCTTTGCGGGTTTCTTGGGCCGCAGAAACAGATTATACAGTTTCTTATCATAGCTTACGTGATCAATGACAAATTCTGTTCGACTTGTCATGCTGGATTTTGGTGCCTCTTCACAACAAAAGTATTCCAGGTTTGTGACGGACATGACAAAGCTCATCCCAAAGATGATGGAGAACAGCACGAGCATGGACGCTTTCCACGATGCAATGCAGGTAGCAAGCTTAAGGAGTAACCCATGTCCAACACGTGTTGGAGCCAGATTGCTATGGATGTGACATGAGGATGTCCAACTTGCTTAACAAAAACTGTGTTGGGCCGTAGATGTTCAGCGCAGTTGATGGATGGGTAGACACCTTGGCAATCCTTCCACCCAACCAGTTAGTGGGCTTGGCTTGCCTTGTACTTAACTGGAAATCTGCAATAGTAATGTTGATCTTTCTGGTCTTGATTAGTGGGGAATATGGGCATGTAATCGCAATATTTTTAGATATTCCCACATTCACTCCTAACCTCCCAGCAAATTATCCTGGGCAGGAGCACAGTAGCAAACACGCGCCCGGAACCAGAGTTGAGCTGCAATCAGCCGACGTAAACAATGTGTATGCATATATGTAGATTTATATAGATATAGATATAGATTGGCTTAAGGTTTAGGTTTCAGAGTTTAATGGTTTAGAGTATATTGTACAGTATGTATATAGGGCTTTCCCAAAATTGCGTGTCCCTTTTTGGGGGATCTTCACAAGAAGAATTATCGTTTTACGGGGCCCATGTTGGGATCCCCCAGCTGCCATATGAGCTATAGTCTAAACTCCTGAAAGGGGTTATATAGGGGCTTATATAGGATACTACTATAGGGGTTACTAAGGGGGATACTAGGAGTTTAGACTATAGCTCATATAAACATTACAGGACTGCAGTATGTTTTTTCGTTACTTGTCCGCTTGCTTTATTTGTCAATGCCAGGTCCAGGGCACATCCCATCAATGAAATCCCAGATTTCCTTGTACTATACTTACTATGGTTCGTCGTGATTTTACCATGGGCGCCAGTGAAACAGAACATGGAAGAATGAAGCCGCTGGTCGTGCTGGTTCTCTTTGTAATCCTGGAATGCGTGAATGCAAGTTGCAAATGCCAATGGTTGCTAGCCAATTCTTTGCGGAGTTGCCTTTCGTGTTGTTGCAGGCATGTTGTGCCTCCTGTACACATACAAAGAATATGATTAGGAATAGCGGGGCTACATTGGCTCTGCGGTACTGGCTTTCACATCGCTCGAGTGTTTCCAGACCTTGCTTGGGGTTATTTCTGTCAAGTCATATTACTTGCGCGTTCATGTTGGAGTGGGTCGTGACATGATCTTATAACATTATGCGGACAAACCCGTACATTGAGATTAAGGTTTCCCACAGTCAGGGGTGCCACTTTGGAAGTGCCCAGAAAGGATTGCAGCAATTTTAGGGTCTATGTCGGGGCCTTTCTCTGTGTAGAAACTGCCAACATCATGGTTGTGTTGGCCTTGGTCCAACTCCATTATAAGCCGCCAAAGCCATCATCCAAGTCGCAAATTCACACCTTATGCTCTTTGACGCGTTTTTCATACCACGTATCTGGAAATTTGCTTGCACATTGAAGATGTGGATGGCAGGCTGCGGCAGCCAACTTTTCAGGGCTCACCTCCGAAAGCCCTCTGCTTTCTTTGGTCGCTGCGTCCTTGTTGAGTAAGTGAGTGTCAGTGGGTGGAGGTTGCGCTGTTCATTGGCATTGCGGATGTTGGGGTTTGAGTGTAGTTTCAACCGCGAGCATTTGTGTTTTTGGTTGGTGGGAATCTTGACGACTGACTTCAGCGTTTTGTCCCCGCCTTCCTGCACGAGGTCAATCCAGCAGAGGAGCAGTTGTCAAAGTTGTAGAGTCGGGTTTTGGTTTTGGCGTCAGGACTTGATTGTTTTCAATTGAGATCTTACGTTCTTGTAGGTTCAATATTCAAAGGTGCTGTTGTCTGACAATCTGGTTCTGTAGTTTTGCGCAGGCTCTGTTCTCTTTTAAGCTTTAAGTATGTGGCTAAGGGTTGAAGGTTTTGAGCGCCTGGCGCAGGAGACAGCTCATTTGGGAAGCTGGGTGGGCGTTTACTACCTGCTCCTGTTCCTGGATGGAGGACGAATTACACATTAGGTCATTGGGTGTAATTGTCTTTACAAGTTGTTCACCTTGCCAGATTTGGGAATTCATGTGAATGACCAAACTCGCTCCGCCTACGTTTGAGTAACTGCCCCGGGGTTTGGGCGGGGTATTTGAGAAACCCGAGTAGCTGTAGACTGCCAAATCTATTCCCAGCTTCCATTTCATGTTCCATGTTCTTTTCCATTTGATTCCATCATGGGGTAATTTCCCAAAAGCCTATACCCTAAACACAACCCTATACACCCATAACGTGTGCCAAGGTTCCTCTACGTTCCATTCGGTTCGCTTTGTGCATTCCTGACGGCTGTGTACTTGATCGGCTGTCGGGCTGTCGTACCTGGGCCTAGCTGGTTCTTGCACATGTTTGCATGGCTACCCAGGGGGCTTATGTAGTTCCTTTTTTTGGGTTTGTTATAGTTTTCTGGTAATGGACTATAGTATACTACTCGACAAGGAACTACATAGGAGCCCTTGTGTAAATTGAGGGGTCCTTGCATAAGCCCCTAAAACCCTACAGCCCTAAAAACTCCAATTTTCGTGATGTACGGCGGAAAAACATCCTCTTATTGCTGAAGCCCTACACTCTGAGGTATCAAAGTGCATGAGCCCTGCTTTTTCCGAGCCGATCTCTGAAAGCCTTCTGTGAGCTGTTGAGAAGTGTAGGGCACTGTACGGATCAGGGTTTAGGCTGGGGGCTCAAGGGTTCAGGTGTGAGGACATGAAACTTAGGGCACGATGCGCTGTTCAGACGGAGCCCCTAAACCCCCTATAAAGCACTGTCAGGTGACGGCTCTGATGGGGTCAGGTTCATTACAAATTGTGGAATGGTGATGGCTCCGGGATGGTCACCCAACCATGGAGATTGAATATGGGTCCCTACCAATTGCCTTTGGAGCTATGAACTTGCAGATTTGGGTCCGACATCTGAATGATATGTTAGGGTTTAGGGTTTTCACAAAGCGTGAAGTTCCACGCATGATAGACCTTGTCAAAAAGGGGCGCAGCATAAATCCCAATCCGTAAAATGGTCCCGGCCAATGCTGCTAGGGACGACTGCTTGGTAGCCCACGGCTTGATCCAGCTATGGATGTGCGCTGCAAAGGTAGAAGCAGATAAAAAAAGAGTATCCGTAATTGATAGTAGTAGTAGTAATATGTAGTAATGACTAGTAACGGTAGTTGCTTGCATGCATTCGTGGTTTGTCTTTCCCTGCGCAGGCAACCAATTCCTCCAACTTGCTTAAGTCGCCGCTTGCAAGTCAGAAACGAGATCCTGCTCTGAACCCAAAGACCCAGAACCCAGAGCATGGTTGTCGTACCTGGGGTTTAGACTGTAATTAGCCTTGTCCATTATCCCGATATGACCCCTGTGTACCCAACTAGAGACAGTAGCATGCTCTTTCGAAATTATCCCAATATAACCCCATAATATGGGTAGTTCCCAAAATGGGGGTCCCCTTTTGGTAGCCCTGAATAATTGGTGCCGTAATATAAGCTAAAACCAAAAGGGTCCATATTTTTTTAAGCACAACCCCTAAACCCTAAA